ATTCCACCCACTGCATAGCCATAGCTGTCACCTCACCACAGCCTTGTGTCTATGCATTCTGTTCACATCTGGCCCAGGTAGCATTTCCCACATTTCTCCCATGGAGTTTCTGGACAGTCTGCAGATAGCTAACCTTTGACCCATGCACCACCTGGGCCTTGAACTTGACACCTGCTCCACTTCACACTGGGGGCAGTTGCCAGTTCCCACTCTTGATACTCATCTCTGACTGTAGAAAATGGATGAATAAAGGGTCTTTTTCCCCTCTGCTAACCTGAGGAAGGGCTTCCTTGGTGGCCCAGATGGTAAAGAATCTGCCTGCAATGCAGGAGACCCGGGTTCGATCCCTGAGTCAGGAAGATCCCCTGGAGAAGGGAATGGCAACCCATTCCAGTATTCTTGCCTGGAGAATCCCATGGACAGGGGAGCCTGGTGGGCTACAGTCCATGGGGTTGCAAAGAGTTGGACATGACTGAGCGACTAACACTTTCACTTTCAACGTGAGGAAGGGGAGTGTGGAGGGACATGAGGGGATGCCTTGTGGCTCCCCTCAGTGGTCCCAGCAACACAATTGCTGTGAGGTTGGGTGACTTTATACTGGGATTTAAATAATGACAAAGACCGTGGGACTGGCTAATTCTTTGTGACTGAATTATTTCTAAGGAGCAGGTATCACCTGTGTCATAGAACAAAATCAAATCATATCTACAGTCATCACAGTGATACAAACAAGGGCTTGGGAGTGCCTGGCTGTCCTTGGTGAGAATACTTGCTCTGCACTAATACTGCTTGAGGATGAGGTTACCCAGGAAGGCTTGCAGCACTGGGCAAGACAGGGTTTCTTTTTCAGTTCAGCCTCCAAGCTCTCACACAGAAATGGCCCCAACTTTCCTCTAACTACTTTGCAGTGTCGTGGAGAAACTTGATCCTACTCAGAGAAGATAGCTGCTGCATATAGGCAAAATCCCAATGTTAGGAAGCTGGGCTGCAGATAGCCTTTCAAGGAGTTAAGAAAAGACTAAGAGTCAAAGAAAGTGCTTTGCATGAGAAGAAACATAAGACTGAGGTCAGCACCCACAGTTTATGCTGATTAAAGAATGTGAGAACTCAGTGCTTCTTAATAAATTTTTATTTCATACACATAAAAAAAACTGAGTTGTAGAAGTAGCTCCTGTGTGTGTGTGTGCTTAGTTGCTCAGTTGTGTCTGACTCTTTGTGACCTTTTGGACTGTAGCCCACCAGGCTCCTCTGTCCATTGGATTCTTCAGGCAAGAATATTGGAGTGGGTTGCCATGCCCTCCTCCAGGGGATCTTCCCAACCCAAGGATGGAACCCTTGTCTCCTTTGTCTCCTGCACTGCAGGTGGATTCTTTAACCTGCTGAGCCATCGGGGAAGCCCTTGAAGTAGCTCCTGATTAGATATTAAAACTGGTGATCTCTAATTTGTGAGATTAAGAAAGAATCATATATTTATACTTGATTCTAAATAACCTATATCTTATTTGTATGAGAGGATGAGGGAGAGGGAGGGAGAAAGGGTGGGGTGTGGTAATTCTATTTTTGCCACAGGGGATCTTTTTAATTTTCAAAGAATATGTGCTTCTCTAAAGGTAACCTGTAGGGCCCAGGAACTGTCCTGGACATACAAGTACAGAAAAGGTTTTTTTTTTTTTTTGAGGGAGGAGGGGGTGGGGAAAAGCAGGGAAAATTCCTTCCTGTCCTGTAGGTACCCATCTACCTTTGTTCACCCAAAGCAGGAACAGTGGGCTGCTGTCCTCCTCCCTTCCCCTCACCCCACCTCTTCCCTGAGAGCAGAGGACCAGACCACCTAAGTGATGTTGAAATCCACCCAGGTGCACCAGGCACAAAAGACCTACAACCCTGAGGGCTGAATTTTATCTGCTGGGTTACCCTTGGAGAACCAGATGTCTCTGGAGCCCTGGAAACTGTTGACTTCAGAAAAACAAAGAATATTTACTGTCTGAGAGGAGAGTTGGTGGTGATAATACTGGTAAACTTCTCCAAAGCCTCCCACTTCTACTGGGATCAAGTTGCACACACACAATGCTACATAACCGGCTGTGTCTAGTTAATAACAATGCGAACAGCACCTCTATGACAGCAAACATTTAGTATTCGTTTTGATGGGCAGCCATATCTCAAATGCGCCTCAGTTTACCGATGTATCAAGTCTGTGACCATGCTTTTACAAATTAAGCTGCTTTGGAAGTTCCATGTATCTAGGTCTTTGTTCACATGCAAGGTAGTTACCTTAACACAAAATTCCAGAACAGAAATGTTGGCTCATAGGACCGTTTAAGGCTTCAGTTTTATTTGGATTTATCAACCCTTTTCTTACATTTTCTGGATCCCTCTTGTGCTTAAAAATGCCTTTGCACTCTTTCAGATCCTAAAAGCTTTCACACACCTCTGGAGAGACTAAAGACTTTCTTGAGGGCCACCGAACAGCTGCACTGAGAGAATTTGGAATGTTCAGTCAGGGTTGGGAATGTTCTAGATAGAGAGGGACTGGAAGATTTTTGGTGTGGAGAAGAAAAACCCTTTTTGGGACTGGGATGTAACACTCTTTCAGGTGGGGCGGAGCCTCTACCTGGTCAGAGAGGGCTGGAACCATAGCCCACGTGACATATACATTACTACGCCGGTGCGTGGGAGTTACCTTGCACACCTCCGAGGCTTGGGCTTGGCAGGTGGAGTTGACTGCAGAGGTCCTGTTTCGGCGGCAAGGAAAGGTAGGTAGATTTTTCATTCCCTTTCTGATTCTCCACCAGGTGCTCCACCAGGTCACAGCTGGTTTGTGAACAGATGTTAATGAGTGAGTATGAGCAAGGGGGATTTGGGTGGGTGGGTGCAGTGCAATACTTGGCTTCCCAGGAGGAAGATCCTCGAGGTCGTCATTTTTCTCTTCACCAGGCATTGTGGCTATGGACCTTTGCAGTGGGGCAGAGCAGGGGAGAATGGTGGGCCAGAGGGGAGAGGGGTAGTTGAAAGAAAAGCGAGTCTTAGGAGGATTACTTGAGATATCTGAGCACCGGAAGCACCAGAACTGGCAACAGAATATATATCTGGGAGTCACCCTATTGCGGAGAGGGGGAACCAGCCCACGCGGCTCACGGGAGACAGAGTGCGCATGCCCAGGGTTGTGTGCCTTCCCGTCGGCCCTTGCGGTGAAGCGTGTGCAACGTGGTCTGGGCGCCAAGCTTTGCGGGTCATGTTTTAGCATCTGGGTTCTTTCTACCTGGCTGAGACTGACCAGGTGGGTCCACAGATCAGTCCTATCTGGAGTTTAAGTGTGCGTGCATGTAAGGGGGAGCCAGCGGGCTTTAAACTGGTCAGGCGGTGTGGTCTTTAGCCTTTTGAGGAGGAAGGTCCTCAAGGTCGTCTTCTTTCTCCTCTCAAGTGTTGCAGCCACCATAGCTCTTGTTCTAGTGGTGGAGGAGTGGGGTGGAGAAGGGGTGGTGGTGGGTGGGAATGGGGGGTTGGGGGCAGGGAGGAAGAAGGGGGTGGGCGGCAGAGGGCAGGGGGTCAGATGAATGTGGGGCGAGTCATGGGGGTGTTATTTGGGTCCTGGAGGCACCAGAACTGCTGACAGAGCACCCATCCGGGAGTCTTGGGGGGATGGGGGGGCGGGGTGGGGTGGGGCGAGGCGGGCGGGGCAAGGCGGGTGGGGCGGGGCGGGGTGGGGCGGGGCAACGGTGTCTCACAGGAGAGAGTGCACATGCCCAGGGTTGCGCACTTTCCAGTCGGCCCTTGGGGTGCAGCTTGCACAACGCGGTCTGGGTGCCGAGCTCTGCAGGTCACATTTTAGCATCTGGATTCTTTCTACCTGGCTGAGACTGACTGGGTAGGTCCACAGATCTATCTTGTTTGGAGTTTAAGTGTGCGTGCATGTGAGGGGGGGCCCGTGGGCTTTAGACTGGTCAGGCAGTGCGGTCTTTAGCCTCTTGAGGAGGAAGGTCCTCGAGGTCGTCGTGTTTCTCCTCACAGGTGTCACGGCCGCCATAGCTCTTGTCCTGGTGATGGGAGAGTGGGGCGGGGAGTGGGGTGATGGGGGTGAGGTGTGAGGGGGAGGTGGGCGGGGGAAGGCAGGGGGTCAGATGAACGTGGGGAGAGTCACGGGGGCGTTATTTGCTGTATCTTGGTCCTGGAGGCACCGGAACTGGCAACAGCACAGATACGGGAGTCTTGGGGAAGGGGAGCGGGGCGGGGAAATGGTTTAGCCCTCGTGGCTCAGGGTAGATGCAGTGCGCATGCGCAGCATTGCTCACTTACCCATTGTCCCTTGGCGTGAAGTGTGTGCAAAGCGATATGAGTGCCGAGCTCTGCGGGTCACGTCTTAGTGTCTGGGTTCTTTCTACCTGATTGAGACTCACCAGATAGGTCCACAGATATGTCCTGTCTGGAATTTAAGTGTGCGTGTGTGTGAGAGGGAACCACTGGGCTTCTGGTGGGTTGGGCGATGCGATCTGTGGCCTTTGTGGAGGAAGGCCCTTAAGTCGTCGTCTTTCATCTTACAGGTGTCGCGGCCACCATACCTCTTGTCCTGGTGGCAGGAGAGGGAGGGTGGTGCACAGAGCAGGGTAGGGGGTCAGATGAAGGGTCGAGTCTTGAGGGTGCTATTTGAAGTACCTGGGTCCTGGAGACCCTGGAACTGACGACAGCACAGAATCCAGAGTCGGAAGTGGTGAGGTGGACATGGCCGTATATTACAAAATCTCTCCATATTCAAGGGTTAGAGAGTGAGATCGAATTTCTTTAGTAAGGTCATAACTTTTTTTTTTAAATCAAGTACTTGAAGGTCCTTTCTCTGTCAAATTGGCTGTGAGAGAAATAAAGGGGTTTGCAGACAGCCTTATTTGATGTTATTAATAATGTTATATTGTAGCAAGAATTTCCAACCAGCTTGGTGATAGTCCAGTATAGTGTTTTAAAATTAACTACATTCTCCAGTTCACCGTTTTCTACTTTCAGTGTGAAATATGAGTGTACGAGTAAGATCAAGATCTAGAGGAAGGGGAGATGGTCAAGAGTCTTCTGATACGGCTGAAACTGTGGCTGTAAGTGCTTTAATATCTTACTTCCATTAGCAGAAATTAATAAAAGAAAAATTTTAAAGTTGAACTAGTATAGATCTGTTGTACAAAGGGCTATCTTGCTGAGAATAGTTGAGTGATGAATCTCATGACTGAGATATAGAGCAAGGAGACTTATGTTCTGGTATTGCTTGGATAGGTATATTGATATGAGCCTGGAAATCATTCCTATGACTTCTCTATTGTAGTTATTAATAAATAACACACAGTCCAGAAAAGATGAAGGTGGTTTCCAGAATTACTGGTTCTTGTAGATAACTCCTTTCTTAGAGTATTTTCTCTGTAGGAAGAGTAATTTTGTTAAGAATACTTAGATAGAAACAGGAAAAGCCTCTTCAGATTGTTGATTAGTTACCTCCATGTAGCATGTGTATTTTTGTTTTCTCTTGTCATAGTATTAATAACAATACTTTTTATTTGCCCCTACTCTCCCCCCAAGGCCCAGAAACTAGGTGGCAAAAAACCTCAACGCAGCGAACCACCAGCTCAGAATGTAGACATTGAACCTGGACAAGAGAAAGAAGGAGGAGCATCTGTGGTTCAAGGTAAAGAGGGGATGGAGGGACCATCTGTATTTCATTTATGATGTTTTACCCGTGACAGGTATAAAGGGTTCCCTGAAAATTGGCTGGAAACCTGTTTGGTAAGGAAAAGATATATTTTTCAGCTGACTGCAGTCCCTCTCTGTGATAAGTTTTCCCTCCTTCAGCATTTTACTCACCTATGTTTTAATTTGGCATGCTTGGGAAATGCATTTTTTCCAAGGCCCTAAATTGGCAAATCAAAGGAAGCAACAATAAATTTTGACAAAATTATACCCTATTTTACTAGTTAAACTCGATCTTTTTGGAATGTTGTTTTCAGGGCTTCTGAAGTCATTGAATCAAAAGTTTAAGCAAAACTAGATATATTTTGGTTAGCTCTTAGATTGTAATTCAAATTTATAATGCAGAGAAATAAAAAATGTGAAACCCTATCGTAGTTGCTACTAAAAGTCTTCAATATTTTTATCTTCCTGAACCATAACCTAGTTGTCACATATTTTTTTTAACTTTTTACTTAGAAAAGTTTTAAAAAGTACAGAAAAGTTGTAAGAAGGCACAGTGTACTTCTGTATCCTCTTTACCATGATTCAGCAATTGCTAATATTTTGCCATATACTAGCCTTGCTTTAGGTATTAATATACATATTATTATTGCCAAACCATTTTAAGAGTAAATTTCAAATACAGCTCTTTACTCTCCAAGTAATTCAGTAAGTATCTCCTAAAAACAGGGATATTCTCCTGCATAACCCAGTACAGGGATCAAATACAGGAATTTAACATTGAGAAAAAATATGTAGTCAGTTGGCCTAGTAGTAACCAGTTTTGTCAGTTGGCCTAGTAATGTTCTTTATAGTGTTATTTTTTTCCTGACCCAGGATCCAGCCCAAGACTACCCATTGCATTTAGTTGTCACCTCTCTGAACTCCTTTAACCTGGAAATGTACCTCAGTATTTGTCTTTAATGATTAACATCTTTTGGAGGCCAAACCAGTTGTTTTCATAAAATGTTCTTCAGTTTGGGTTTGCTTAATTTTAAAGATCCCCCCCCCCACTCATTTATGAGGTCTTCTTGGTGGCAGGTTAACCTTGGGTGCTTGAGGATATAAATACAAACAAGAATGATTTCTGCCTTGAGTTCACAATCTTGTCAGAGAAATTAATGTAAACAGTAGCCGATCTAATGAGTGCAATAGATGTGTATATAGGTTATAAAGGAGACAACTAAGTTTGTTTTAAACAGTTTTAGAAAAAAGATTCATAGAAGAGGTAATATATGAAAAATACAATTTCACTTTATAATAAAAATCTTTAGTGCTCATTACATTTTTATGTATCACATTTAGGGCAATGCTAACCTCCAGTGCTTTATTTAATAGCATTAATTTATAGTTTGCCACTTATAGTAATAACTCTCTATTTATATCAGAACCTGAATTGGAAGATCCCCGCCAGGAAATGGATGTGGAAAAGATTGAAGGTGAGCTTGGAGGTGGCCCTGATGTGAAAGGGAAGATTCCACCTAATGTGGTGCCTGCTAAAATTCCGGAAGGAGGTGTATTATCTATTAAGAATGCAAGTTGTGAAGTGGTTGTTTTCTACAATATTATACTTTAATAACAAATTGCACATATAGAGATTATTTGAAAAGTAGTTCAGACACAAAACACTGCATGAGGAAAAAATGAATTGTCAGGTCCATGTTGTTGAATTATAAAACATGAAAGAAAATATTATTACTTTAGAGTGGAAGTCCTTTTAAACCCAAGGCAAGTTATCAAATACTTCTTTTTTTTTTAATTGGATTTTTAAAAATTTTTTATTAGTTGGAGGCTAATTACTTTACATATCAAATACTTCTTAAAGTACATAAATTAACATACTTCAGTGCCACTTGGATAATTTTATTTCAACTGAAATCACTGTCAGTTTTTGCTCATTCCTTAAATTATCTTTAAATAGGCTAGTAGGATTTAATCTGTTCTGGGCTTGATTAATCTGTTTCTTCACACCACCAAAAAGAATGATGTATTAAAAAAAATTAGTGCTCATATGCCTGAAAATGTTCATTAGCATGGAAGCATGTGCAGTAGTCAGGGTTCTGGTTTTAGTTTCATTTTATAAAACCCAAACTGTAGTGTCTTGTGTACCTTTTTTATTATCTAAGTAAAGTTCTAAGTAACATACCACTGTTACATTTATGTTTTAGGTGATGGACAGTGAGAAGTTAAAAAGAAGACAAGCTGAAGCCATACATACTGTTATGTTGATTATTTGGCTTGATCAGTTCTCTCAATAAAAATTTGCAGCTTCTTGGAAAAAATCATGCATGTCTTTGGTCCAGTCTGTTCCTAGGAAGTTGATACTATTGTAAGTGGTATCTCAAGATCCTTCATGTTATGTTTAGAGCTGGTCTGTAGAAGTGCTTTTTTTTAAAAAAAATAATTTTGTATCTGGCAACTTTGCTAAACTTATTAATAGTTTATGTCTACTTTCTTTTGGATTTTATACATACCCAATCATACTCTATATAGTTTTGCTTCTTCCTTTTAAATCTAACTTTCGTTTCTTGTCCTTACCTTATGACACTGGCTGAACCCTTTGAGTATAGTGTTGAATAGAAACGATGATAGTGGACATCTTTGTCATATGCCTGACCTCAAAGGGAAAATTTTCAATGTTTTACTGTGATGTATGCTACAGGTTTTTTAAAATTAGATCTCTATTAGATCAAAGTTCCTGTTTACTCCTAGTTTTCTAAGAGTACTTACCATGGATATTTGTTGAATTTTATCAAACACTCATTCTGCATCTATTAAGGTGATCTTGATGTTTCTCCACTAATCTGTTAATGTGGAGTGACCCTTTTCTGTATTGTTGGATTCCTTTCCCTAATGTTTTGTTCAGGATTTTTGAATCTTTATGAGTTAAATTAGTCCATAATTTTTTAATGTACTCTACATATTGGGTTTTGATATCAAGGGCTATTCTGGTTTTATAAACTGAGTTGATATAAATAGCCCCTTTTTCTGTTTGCTGGTAGAACTCATCTAACATTGGAAATATTTCTTAAATGCTTGATAGAATTCGTCAGTGAGGCCATTTGGGCCTGAAGTTCTCTTTTTAGGAAAGTTTTAATGATTCAGTATCTTTGTTTCTGTTCTTAAGTCAGTTTGGGTAAGTTTTATTTTTATAGGACTTTGGCTATGTTATCTAAATTTTCATTATAAAAAGTTGTTCATAGTAGACTCTTATTATCCTCCTAATGTCTGCAGAATCTGTAGTGACACTGCCATTTTCATTCTTAGTACTGATAAATTGTGCCTTCTCTCTTGCATTTTTATCAGCCTCACCAAAGGTTAACTGATATTTTTGACTAGTCTTTTCAAAATAAAACCAACTTTTGGCTATACTGATTCTATCATGTTTCATTTTTCACCTTTATTATTTCTTCTTTCTCTATTTGCTGTTCTTTTTCTAACTGCTGGAGATGTTTAGCTTATTAATTTTCAGCCTTTTAAGCATATACTTTAAAATTATAATTTTCTCTTTAAATAGGTCTTTAGTTACTCAACTCAAAATGTTCTAATTTTATTTCTGATTTCTTTGGATTTTAGATTACTTCTAAGTTAACTTTAAACATTTGAACACTTTCTTTTTGTTACATAGCACAAATAACTGATAGAACTGTTTAGAAGAGACACAGCTAAAACACAAGAATTCAGAAAAGAAAGTAAAAGGATGGACAAATTATATCACTACACAAAATAACTAAAAATAGGCTTTAAGATAAACAGGCATTGCTAGAAATAAGGGATACTTCATGTAGAAAAATTGAATTTATTGGAAAGTTTAACAACAGTTTTAAATATGAATCTAATAGCATGGCTTCAAAATGTAATAGATTGGCAAAGCCAACAAGGAGAAATCAGTAAGGCTATATAAGATTTGTACATAGTTTGTTGTTCAGTCGCTCCATCATGTCCCACTCTTTGAGACCCCATGGACTATGGCACACCAGGCTTCTGCACTACCTCCTGGAGTTTGCTCAGATTCATGTCCATTAAGTTGATGATGCCATCCAACCATCTCATCCTCTGTTGCCCCCTTCTACTCCTGCCCTCAGTCTTTCCCAGAATCAGGGACTTTTCCAATGGCTATTTGCATCAGGTGGCCAAATTATTGGAGCTTCAGCATCAGTCCTTCCAATGGAAATCCAGGGTTGATTTCCTTCAGGACTGACTGGTTTGATCTCCTTGCTGTCCAAGTGACTCTCAAGAGTCTTCTCCAGCACCGCAGTTCAAAAGCACCAATTCTTTGGTGCTCAGCCTTCTTTATGGTCCAACTCTCACATCCACACATGACTACTGAAAAAACCATAGCCTTGACTATATGGACATTTGTTGGTAAAGTGATATCTGCTTTTTAATATGCTGTCTAGGTTGGTCATAGCTTTTCTTCCAGGGAGCAAATGTCTTTTAATTTCATGGCTGCAGTTACTGTCCATAGTGATTTTGGAACCCAAGAAAAGTCTGTTACATGTTGTACATTATAATTAACAAGGTTTTATCTGACAGAAAACTCAGTATTCAACAACATATTCAGTACATTCTTTTTGGTGCAGTTATTTATAAGAGGACATACACTGCATTTCAGTTCTTTGAAATTTGTTGAGATGTGTTTTATGACCCAGCATATGGTCAGTTTTTGTAAAAAAAATTCCATACGTGCTTGAATGTATATTCATTGTTGAACATGAGTGGTGTACTTTGCCTAACTTCATATTCCTATCCTTTACTTAAACTTCACAAGATTATTGTGCTGTGGTCCCCTTACCTTGATAAAGCAAGGAACCCTTGGGCAATGGCTTCAGTCTTGCTGCTTTCCTAACTCTCCTCTCAGCCTGTAGGAAACTAGTTCATTCTTGCCATACCCTCAGAGTGGTGGTAGAGCATGTTCCTAGACTGGTTTCTTTACTCTCAGCTGTCACTGGCAGCTCTGCAAGTCTTTCTCTAAAACCACTAGGCAAAGACTAGGCTCCTGTTTCCAGGGGAAATATTTCAAGCTCTAAAAACTTGGTCATCACATTTCATTCTGGTTGCAGCACTAGAATGGGTCTCTGATTTTCTATAGCTCAGTGAACTTACAGATGGTGAGATGCCAGTCTTCCTTTTTAAATATGTTTCAAATGTCTTTCAGTGGATTGTTTAGCTCCCAATTCATTTGGTTTCAAATGAGGTGGATAACTTACCCTCTAAAACTTAGTGCAGAGAGGATTTCTTTCACACCGGCCCTCACTGAGTTGACAACTCACAATTTAGGTACATTATTTTCAACAAGTCCCTGTTTAAGGAGTTTTCTTTCTTCTTCTTCTTTTTTTTTTTTTGGTTGTACCATGTGACATATGAGATCTTAGTTCCCTGACCAGGGATTGAACCTGCACCCTGTGCAATGGAAGCATGGAGTTTTAACCACTGTCCAGACCTCTAGGGAAGTCCCTGAGGAGTTTTCAAACTTACACTAATCTTGTTTTTATGTAGACCAGTTAGCCTAGCAGGATGAGAAAATGTATCAATATTATCCCTTGCTCTTTTAAATGTTGTGTAAACTGCTTATTGTCCTGTTGTCAGTAGGAATTTGGATATAATGAATTTAGTAAATTTGGAATTCAGGATATAGATAGCATTTGAAGCCATGAATCCACATGAACTCACTTGGGTAGAGATTACATAAAGCTAGATTACATATAAGAGAGCTAGAGGCAGAGCCCTGGAGCACTCTACAAAAGGTAGAACTTAAAAAAGATAAGAAAAAATGGCTGCCAGAGGAAGAAACTAGGTGAGGTATCAAAATCTTAAGGGAATAATAAGTGGTTGGCAATTTAAAATACTGCTGAGAGGTCACGCAATAAGGGTAAAAAGGAATTTACTGTTAGTTTGGCAAGACGTGTCACCAGAAACCTTGATATGAGCCATTTTAGTGGGAGTTATGATAGAGGGGAAAGCCTGATTGAAAAGAATTAACTGAGAATGGGAGGTGAGCAAGTGGAGATAGTAATAATAGAAATTAATTTTTTATTGAGGTACAGTTGATGTACAATATAAATTACAGGTGTACAACAGTGACAATTTTAAAGACTATGCTCTGTTTATAGTTATAAAATATTGGCTATATTGCCTCTGCTGTAGAATATATCCTGTAGCTTATTTATCTTATACATAGTAATTTGTACCTCTTAATCCCCTACCTCTATCTTGCCCCTCCCCCTTCCCTCTCCGCACTGGTAATCATTAGTTTTCTATGTCTGTGAGGCTGTTTCTGTTTTGTTATATTCACGTGCGTTGTACTTTTTAGATTACACATAAGTGATATCATATAGCATTTGTCATTCTCTAACTTGTTTCACTTAGAATAACACCCTCCAAGTCTGTCCATGTTGCTGCAGATAACATTATTTCATTCATTTTTATGGCTGAGTAATATTCCGTTACATATATATATTGTGGACTTCCTAGATGGTGCTAGTGGTAAAGAACCCACCTGCCAATGCAGGAA